GTTTAATATTTTCGGGAAAAATTGAATGTATTACGATAAAAATAAAGGTGAATTGCAGAGTTCACCCTATCGGTATGAAACGCACCCACAGGGTGAGAACCTCCCTCATCTGCCATCGAACCAATTGATAACGACAATGACTGAAAAACATCTAAAAATGTTTAAGTTTCGTTAGGTTTGCAATAAACTGACGTAGAATTCACGTAATATCCCAAAACTACCCCTAGCGTTATGAAAAACAACCCTTAACTTCAATTACAGAAAAAAGAAAGGAAAAAAACATAAAATTTGATAACGATTTCATTATATGGATGTTCTTATTTGCAGAGATCCTTATGGCTAGGATATTAGCAGTCATTTGTCACCAATCTTATCACCATTTTGGTATAAAACGCATCCCTGAAGGGGGTGAGAAGTACTCTTACGTCAGTAGCTTTTAATTCTTCTTTTTTTTAATCTTTTTTTTTATGGTATCTTTTAACATTATTTTCAACCGATCTTCTTACTGACTGTCGTTTGTTATCAAATTTCATGTTTTTTCCTTTATTTCTTCTGTAATGTATGTTAAGGGTTGTTTTTCATAACGCTATAGAGGTAGTTTTGGGGTATTACGTGAATTCTACGTCAGTTTATTGCAAACCTAGCGAAACTTAAACATTTTTAAATATTTTTCAGTCATTGTCGTTATCAATTGGTTTGGTGGCAGATGAGGGTGGTTCTCATCCTATATGGGGGTGCGTTACGTACCGATAGGGTGAACGCTGTAAATTACCTTTATTTTTATCGTAATACATTAAATTTTTCCCGAAAATATTAAACAAAACGATTGATTAAAATGATAACATCATTTTCAGAGCGTTATCTCATATATACCCTATTCAGGGAGTATTTTTTGTCTCTAAAATTTTTTTTTGGGGGTGTACGACTTTTTTTGACCCCCGGATTCGGAATCAGCGATCAAAAATACATAAGAATATACTCGTCTCGTTGCTAGGTCAGAAATTTTTTTTTTGTGGGGCTGTGTAGTCTGGTTATTTCGAAGAGATCTTTTAGGCTTACTCCATTCGCAATACCGTAAAATAAAAATATCTTGCTTTACTTGTAGAATATAGTGCATTATGAAACAGCTGTAAGTCTCTCCATGTAAGTCATTGGCATAAAAATATCTGCTTTTTTCCACAATTACATTGTGGAGCTTGTGGCAACTCTTTCGCTTTATGTCTAAAACAAGAAACATAAGGTTAGTAAATCCTGTTTCCTAGAGTGACTTTGAAAAATGTACAATTCGTTTTCTCACACTCTGTATCATACTAGGTTATTGTTTTTAGTACCTACAACTCCTAAAAGTATTATTTTTACTTTGAGATACGGAAATCAGAATAATTTTAGTTTTTACAGAGTGGGAAAAAATGAAATGTGCAATTGGGAAAAAGTCTATCTAAAAAATCTGCACTAACTCATTTCATCCTATGTAATTCTTGAAATGTAGCAAGAAGATGGTCTACTTCTTTTTTTGCTATTAAATACAAATTTTTCCCCTAACTTCATCAGGTTTTTATACAAAATAACTATATTAGTGTTTATTGCTTATGTCAAGCTTCTTTTTATTTGGCTGTTAAAAGTTTTAAAACTTAATATTTTTAGTGTGGGAAAGTTACAGTTTTTAATTATTGGACACCCTGTACATACCTGAGAACTTGCATTTTCATTCTTTTCCAATTATGTTTCTTAACTTTACGTTTTCTTCCTTTCTCCTTTTCTGAGAGTGTTACCGAATCGTCCATTTTTACCTAATATTTAACAAATACACCAAAAAACTCGTTATTCTAATATAAACAACTTTACCGAAAGATACAAAATGATGCAAAGAATTTCCCACGTTTACGAACAACGCCTTGCGCTCACATGATTTCAATAAAGCCTATCATTATTGGTTGCTTGAAATACAAAGTTTCGCACTTGGGGGATCCTCGCAAATACTGACTTTTGCATATTACAGAGATTTTTAAACCGTTATTTTTAATACAAGAAATTAGTCTTGCGTTTAATTATATAGGGAATCGTAAAATATTTCTTAATTCATTACTACAGAAAAGTCATTTTTGATTTTTTTTATAAAAAAATCGAGTTTTGCATTTAATGTACTCATATATACCTTATAGGTATCAATAAAAAATAGACACAGCATGTCAATGGTAATCACATGTGTTGATATGCCAACATGATGATGGCAAAGTGAGGAAGCGGAAACTGGTGGGGATGGTCACAGCTCAATTGGCATTTTTAGACATAGGCTCGCGCGCTTGTTGTTTTATTTCAAATACTAATATTTAATATTCAAATAGAGAAAATTGACAAACAAATTATCATTAAAAAAAAATAAGGAAAGAAACGAAACAGTTTCATGACTACGCATTGCTTTAATAGGTCAATATTTTGAAAAAACAAAAACAAATATCAAAAGTTACTGTTTCAGTAATATGCCACTGAGTTAATCTCGGCACAGCCACGAGTTAGCTTAACCTATAAATGAGGGCTAACGTTTTCAGGCTCACCAGTTGGCGCCATTGGTCGAGTAAGGTTGTGTTAAAAGTTATTGTCAAGCGCGGAAAAAGTTTATAGTGTTTTATTATAATTATTTCATACACCAGCAAATAAAATACCTTGTTAATTGTGCCACAGTGTTCTGTAGTTCCATTTTGTACCGAAACAAAAGGCGGACATATGCTTCCGAGAGACAAAACTCCTTCTAAACAATCGTGTGTTTGTAAGAATTATTTTAATCCTGACGATTATGCGTTACCAAAGGATTCTATTACAGAAAATCGTGAGTAATAATTCTTGATATAACCTAACTTTAATGACATAAGACACTTCTGATAAGTACAATAATTTTCCTACTGAGCAAGTAAATTACTACTTTCCCCTTCTGCCATCATTGTGTTAAATGTTTTTCAGCTAATTTTTATAAAAATTACTAAAAAAGTAGCGTTAAAAAGCCGTAGTAAACAATAACGTTCAGTGACATTAACCTTTCCGTACACTAGCACTTCTCGTGGTGAATTCAAGCGCGTTAACCCTCATTGATGTAAACGCTTACCGATGAAAATATAATTTTTTTCCGAGTAATTGGATTTCATGTACCCTTGACACCGTCTCACCATTGCACAATTTACTATAAAAGCTGTTGGGCGCAATTTTCAATATTTAATTCACGAAGAGTGCAATAAACCAAAACAACATAAATATGTAATGACAGAATACATCATGCAATGACAGTTGCACAGCCGCAAATGTCACAGATTAACAATCTGTATTGATGTCTCCAAGACAATGCATGACGAGAGATGTGGTAATATGTGTTAGTTCAATACCTATTTTATAACAGAATTTTACTTAGACAATCAATGATAGTCTAAGCAATTTTCCGATATGTTCTGAAAATGGCTCCAACAGACACTACAGATTTATTTAATTGTACAACATAATTTTATAATTCACAGAGCTTTCTGCTTTTATTAGATACGCTCACCTCGAACACACATATGATCTGGTTCTTTTGATTACTTTATTGTTTTCCTCACGTGTATACATTGGTTTTTATTAAGCCGTCATACGATGCATCATATTAGTATATTATTTTTCTTGTCATGTCATGTCATTACGTAATTAAAAAAATTATTGAAACAACATTTATTTTTAATAAAAATACAACATTTTTACAAAAAGTGCTGCTAGTGTTCACCACCTTGCTCCAGACACTTTTGAGTCCACTTTTTATTGAAGGAGGATGATTTTGGAGGATATTCATGTAAAACTAATTAAACGGTCTTAAAAAATGGCTTACATGTCGACTGTTGCGGCTGCTGTATGTACTCGGACTCCATCTTGTTGAATATAACCAAAAGTCACTTCATTGACATCAAGCTAATGAACGAAGGGGATTAAAATCTCTTCATGCCATCTCTGCCCAGTTAAAGTTCCATGCACAAAATTAGACCCATAGTTCTTCTCTTAATAATGGCACACTTTGTGCGTAACACAAACAAGTTCAGGCCCAGATTAAGACCATTTGGCGCTATGGATCCCACTTAGTTTTTTCGCTCTCCTATTAAATGAATCAGTGGTGGCTCGTGATATATTGTGTAGGAAGGGCAATGCTAAAGGTGTGCACACGGGGAGCTCGCTGCAAGGGGATGTAGAGGACGTCTGCCTGCTGCTGCGCCCCATGTTCAACAAATTTTAAAGTTCAAGGTCATTGTGATTTTCAAGTACTCCAACATATTTATGTCGTAATAAGTCATTTAGGAGAGATCAGTTTTCAAGCTTGGAGAGGATATAAACACAAAACAACTTAGTGCTAACTTCTTCTTCAAATCTTTACTCAATCTAGATATAATTCCAGCATTTTCATAGAGGACGAAGCAGTTTGCTCAACATGTGCTGAAAAAATTAATTTATTATTAAAGTGAACACTCAAGTCTTTAGTATTATTGGTGCGGACTAGAGCCTGAAAATTGATTTGATAGTCATATGTAATCAAGTTAACTTTACGCGAGTATGTAATAATTTTGCAGGTTGTAACTGATGTCAGCAAAATTGATTGAAGTATCGATTTTTAAATCATTTGCAAATAACAATTTGTGACATCCGATAAAGAAATCTAGATCATTTATGAATATGGAAAAGAGTGGCGGGCCTAAGATTGATCTTTGCGGAATCCCTAATGTAATTTTATCTACTAGATTTGAAATTATTATATATAAGGTACTGGAAACGGTCAGTTAAGTAAAAATTAAACAATTAAAATAACAGCTAGAAAAATCCGTATTGTTCTAACTTAATTAGCAGTATACTATGGCTTATGCGATCAAAGGCTTTTGAGAAGTCGGTCACGTCCAACTGTCGTTGCTCATCACCAACTTCGGAAATAAATTGCTTGAAACATGTTTAATTAGTATTTTCACCGTGTTGAAATAGTCACATGAAATCTTGTTAGTGGTTTCATGGTCGAGTGGTAAGGACACGTGGCTCTCACCTTGGAGTCCCCGGTTCGATCCCCGGTCGAGGAGCTAGGATTTTTTCTAAAAGAAAAATTAATCCTAGCATACTCGTACACTGGGTGTCTGTCCTTTGTATCTTTCTATAATAAATTAATTAGACTTCATCTTCACAATTGTCATCTGTAGTATTTTTCGCTGCAATTTATATAAATATCACTACATGAAATTACGCATCTATTGTATTTGTATTCACCGTTAGTGAACTTGAAAAGGTGCTGTGTTTTAATTTGGTGGCAAACTGGCAATATTAAACTCGTTCTTTGAATCAAAGATTTTCATTAAATATGAAATATACTGGAGAGAATTTATTGTTTTTAACAGAATACAGGCACCAATACTTAAATATGTAGATAAGACAACATCTAATGTTAAGCTGCCACGGCTTTAGTTATCACACTGTGTTCTACATATAAATTCTAATTTAACTGAACGTTTCCACGACCATCATTGAAAGTAGGCTTTTCCTGCTATCAGTCAAGAACAGAAAGTTGACGTTTGCTGCTGAGTCAGAAGTCACTTCCGCTCGCTGAGCGGAAAGTGAGTTTTTCTAATAGGGCACAAAAACATCTCCTCGGAAACAGCCTAACATAGTCAACTAGAGAAGGAATCGCTCGAAGCGGTAACAAAAGTTCACACGGAGAATAGGGAAACTTGAATGTTTTTATCTCCTTTTTGGTCATATCTGAAGCTGTCGTTGAAAAAATCTTGTATGTAACTCGAGCGGAAAGAAAATAATCTTGGCATTTGCCTATGACTTTTTCTTTGGGGGTACCCAAAGGAAAAGCAACGTTCAGAATATTAATTCAGCATGTTTAGCTTTCTATTTCTAAATTTACATAAAATGTATCTAACTTCTTTGGAAAGTTATTAAAGTTTTAAAACCATCAGCGTTAACAAAAAGACCCTGTACAAGAGAAGATGAGGCAAATTGTTTTAAGTCATTGGATTAAGTAATAAAAGACATAGCAATTAATAGCATGGGCAGAACAACGTCAAAAGTCTTCATCTTAAAAGCAAGTAATTCGTTCTATACAATTTCCTGAAATCCGGCATATTGAAAATCCATTCCATATTCAACACAAATTCTTTTATATATCAATATAATATCTGTTTTAGTCCTATTTGCTTAAATTTTTTTTTTAAATAAACAAAACTCAAAACTCTAAAAAAAATGGTTTTTACTAAGTATGGCCAGAAGTGCAGATAGAAATGATATGCCATAAGAAACTTTTGTTTCTGCTGTACCTTAATTTAAAAGTTTTATATTAAAAAAATAAAATTAAAATCACTCTCACCCGTTGTGCGTCTATATAGGGTGTTTCATAGGGAAATGTACATATGTTAGCTATGGATGTGGGGTACCTAGGTGGTTTCAAATAATCGATGGTTAATGGGTTTAACGACCTTCATTACGAGATACAGGGTGTCTTGTCGAGTTTGCCTAATTTTTTCTCAAGCCACAGCATTCGAATCACTCTGTATATAGTTTTAATATTCAGTAGATATTTTTACTTACTTTATCGAATAGATTAACATATTAATCAATATGGAAATACAAGACCGGCATTATAAAAAATCTCATTTTCGTACATCCCAAAAAAGACTCTTGTGTCAAAAAATTCTGAAAATACGTTTAGACACCTATTTGAAAACAACGGAAAAAAACTATATAACTTACTGCCTACATTTTCACATTTAATTCTACAAGTCTTATTTTTTTAACACAAATCAATTTTATAGGAAATTCTGAGGTAAAATTTAAAAACTGTTTTTACTGTCAAATCAACAAGATCACTCTACTTTGAGTAACTAAAACAAAACTTCCCCATCATGTTGCTTTAGTGCTATATAAGTACCTCAAAAAGAAATTACACTATTTTTCTTAATCATCATTTCAAACATCCTGCTTAACATAATTTTAAAAATGGCATTAAATATTAGCTTAATAAATAAGAAAATAAGCATTCAATATGAACACATAACTTTATTCTCTTTACGTTTCACCTAAACTCTTGTACCAACGAATTACAGAAATTCTGTGCAGGCAAATTGAAATGAAAATAATACCATGACTTTAGCCAAAACGTAAACAGTCATTTATTCATATTGTATGATTCTTCTCCCATTTATTAAGCGAATATTTAATACCAGTTTTAAAATTACGTTATGCAAGATGTTTGATATGATGATCAAGAAAAATAATATTTTGGTATAAATTCGATCAATTTTTTTTTGAAATACTTTTATAACACTGAAGCAACATGATAAGGAAATTTTAGCGTTTTAGTTACTCAGAGTTGAGTATTCTTGTTAATTTGGCAATAAAAATAGTTTTTTAAATCGTACCTGGTGAAATTTCCTATAAAATTGTTAAAACTTCAACCTTGTAGAATTAAATGCAGAAATGTAAAAAGTATACTATTTAGCTTATTTACTTCCGCTGTCTGTAAATAGCTAAAACAGATTTTCAAAATTTTTACATACGGAATGTTGTTCTTGGGATATACAAAATTGATGAAGCCGGACCTGTATTTCCATTTCCAAAAAATATGCAAAACCGATAAAACACCCTATATCTTGGTAATGAAGGGTTTTAGGCTCATTAACAATGGATTATTTCGAGCCACCTAGGTGCCCCACATCCACAGTTAACGAATGTACAAGAAAGTTTACAGGGTGTAAACTATAATTATAAAAAAATTTTCTGTTCTAATTTTTTAACACCCGCTAAAAGTTATTAAGTTGATAATAAAAATAATCAATAACAAAAATATGTATGTCATCATTTTCAAAAATTAAAATTCCCTGTAATGATTAATTTGTTTTCATAACATCGATAAAGAAGAAGATAACCCTGTGTTGATGAACTTTTTGTTTACCAACGGCGGTTTTTTATTGTCAAGTTTTTGGTTAATTAATAAAATCGAATAAAATAAACAAAGTATATACTTCTTATTTGCATCAAACATTTCTTATTGGTGTTCAACATATTTTTATAAATTAATTTGTAACCAATTTTACAAGGTCATGAAATATTATATAGGGAGGTCCAAATCGAACGGGAGACAGCGTAACTTCAGATTACCTATTTGTGTAACAAGGGAGACAATTATAACATTTCATCCGCTGATAAAGTTTCATCAAGTTAATCATCCAATTACTTGATGACCATATGCTTACATATGTTTTTCCTACAACCTCTAATATAAAAAACGGGTGAAAGGGAAATAACATTTTTATTTTATGTACTCTTATCTTGGCATTATGACAGTTTTAATAGTAATTTGAATAGTAAGTAAGCTGTGGAATATTAAAATTCTAGTTACAAAGATGGTTGTCACGGTAATAAAAACATTGTAAATCATAACAAAAATTGATATGTTGATTATAATTATGGTGAGAAAACTTTGTAAATTATATCAAAAATTGAAATGTTAATTATAATTATGTTACTAAAATTAGCTGTATTGTTTAAAATTAATGAAACATTATAACACCTTATAATGAAATTACTTACCTTAATTTTGAGGTCTACGAGTATTTTGACATTGTACCAGACATTGATATTTCAAGGTAACTATGTAACAGTCAAAAATTCGGTTAGAAAATACTTTTCTCCCTAGGGAGGAAAACTATTTAGCGTCCCTAGAGTGAGAAAGTACTATTTTCGATCCGAATTTGAGGGAGGAGAATAATTTTTTATCCTTTATAATATTACTTCCTATCGAGGTCGTAGAAAAAAAATTATTTTTATAACAAAATGATGATTTTTATGATAAATTACTTATTGTCTCCCGTTGTCCGTGTTCGTGATATGGGGCCCCAAAGTGGGGCTTCAAAAATTTAGGCTTTGGCGAAAATTAGGGAACTGATAAACTGAAGTGAACTTTGGTATGATTTATAAACTAAACTATTACTAAGGTTCAGTAAACTGTGACTCACTAACCAATAGAGTTGACTATATGGGACTGGCTCTCTGTCACTATTTATACTATCTTTACACGTTGTAATTTCTCAAATGCATCCAGCTGTCTAATATTTGTTACATTCTTAATTAATCGTAAATTGCTACTATCTATTTTATTGGTTTTCTCAAATGCATATTGGACAATATTACATTTATCTGTTCTACCATATTTGAAATGAACCATATGTTCCTTGAATCTAGTTTGAATTGATCATATGATTTGTCCAACATACTTCTGCTAATACTCCTTACAGCTAATTTCATAAAACACCGACTTTTCATTTGTTTCGACTTTGTCTTTTGGATTGCCTAAAAGTAGTTGTAGTTTATTTCCCGATGAATAAACCAATGCCATACCTAAAAAAAATCCAGAAACTTACAAAAAAAAACTAAATTATGACCTGACTTTTTTAGTTATGAGACTAATTATGCCCATTCATACACACCATTAATTTAACATTAACCATTATTGCCGCTCCATTGTACCCAATACAGCGACCTAGCTACGAATAAGATAAAGCTGGATGTGTTCAAGGCCATTGCTATACTAACTCTCTACAATTTTCAAATTAAATTGACAATTAAAGTGATTTATGAACGCTGTTTAAATACAGTAGGCAGTCATTGGCGTAACGGTAAGGCAGATAATCATGTAAATAGGCATACAAATTGTCTTACAAATTTCGTAGTTTAATACTCAATAAATTTTGTGTACAATGTTCATTTAAAGCTTAAGTACCTATTGGAACAAATATTGGCAATAATAATAAACCATATACTGACATAGTCAAACACTTGCTAACTAGTTCAGTAGAGGATTTGTTTAAACTACCTACTAGCCTGACTAGATTAGTAGAGGATTTGTTTAAACTACTTAAGTAAAAATTTAAAGGTGTTCGGTAAAAACAGGGTACCTGTCGTGAACTTAGCCCTTAGATACATAGATAGATAAATATATATATTCAGTAATTATTAAAGATACAAATTTTGTACATTTGACGAATCATTGAAAATGATATAAAAAATAAGAAATAATAAAATAGGA